TTAGGAGTCATGACTAAACATTGTTTTCACTTATTGTGATTAATTCTTATACATAAATAGACAAGGCCATTTTCTGTTTGAAAATGTTTTTTAAGTAGTCCTATTTCTAAATTTCTGTATATTTGGTTCTTGATTTTTATTTTGTTTCATAATAAGTGACAATTTTTTTAATGTTGTTTGGATTTGTGACTAATTTACAAAATATTACATTTTTCTTATTGTTTATTTAATGATGTTTATATACAACCAAAATAATTTTAATAATTTTTTGTATTTTCTTAATCTATGTGTATTAACATTAAAAACCAAGAAAAATGAAACATAGAGTACTTTCCAAGTGACCTGGAGAGTCATTGTGTGGCCAGTTAAATTATGTAGGTTTCTTTTTAATTAGTTAAATTTATATATTAAATGACAGATTTTTAAAGTAATAACTTTTTAAAATTAGTGATTTTAGCTAAAACTAAATTATGAAACAAATTGAGTAATTTGTATACTTTACACAGATTGAGGAAAATATTTTTAAAGTAGTCTCACCTTAAATTTCTCTCATTCTGTGAAGTCCTAATTGAAAGGAAATAAGTTAGGCTAATTAAAGGTGATGTAAGGAAAACATAAAGATGTTTTCACAGCTATTAAAAAAAATAGAATCATTTGACAACATCTGAATGATAATATCCAATTCAAAGGAAACATAGAAGACTTTCCATACTTTCTAATATTATTTACTTCAATTTTACTTTATTTTTATCCATTATTCTATTTTTACTCCAAAAATATAGTATAATTGCAGTAAATTAATATCATTTCGAAGTTACTCTGTTTTGAAAGAAAAAAATGTATTTTACATTGAATGCTCTTCGTACAAGAAAGCAATAGAAATGACATCCAAACAATAAATAAATATTAAATAATTAAAGTAAATTATATGATATATACATACAGGAACATATATCTTATTTTCCAGTAAATTTACATATATATATATGTCATCAAATTATATTGTATATTTGTGATAATTATTTTCAGCCTCATGATACTTTGTTCTAACAGAAAAATAATTAAAAAAATTATAAATTGCATATACATAACTGAAAATATCGAATAATTATAGAATAAGAACAAAGGACAAAATGATGGTACAGAATTGGAAATAGCAATTCTCTGCAATTTAGAATAGGAAAATAAAATTAAAACAATACAAAGTGAATAAACAAATATTCACAAAGAGTAAGACTCAGTAATATACATTCATAATATAATTTCTAAATGTGTTCCAAAAAAACTCAGAAAGCAAAACTTAGTAAAATACATTCATAATATCATTTCCATAATTTTTAATGTTCAGTCATGCTAAAAAAATATTTTATTAGTTAATTTTTTTTATTATTTTTTCTTAGTTATAATAGAAACATATTTGACAATAGTATTAATTTCATGCTTTAACTAAGAAAAAAATTAAAACTAAAAATAAATACGAATGAATTACATAGAAAATAATAAATATATTCACTTCAAATCAGTTATACTGAAAATAATTAAATAATATAAAAATGCAAAAATTCATATCCAAATAAAAAATATCCAAATAAAAATGATAATATAACAAAATTAAATATATTATCCGCGCGTAACACGGAAAAATAATCCAGTATTACTAAAAGCATGTGAATTGATCTCTCGAACCCTTCAGTTTTCTTTTTCTCCAACCCACGATTTTTTTTTTGTTAGAAATCATATAGGCATTCATCTTTTCTACTAAAAAGCAATGACATTTACTCAATCGCAAATCTGTTTTCTCGGAATTCCACTTTTTTAAATTGTGTGCACTTGATCAAGATTTACAAGGACCCCTCTACGGATATTCATACAAGGAATATTTTCCCATGGTTGTTATGGGAAATTTGGAAAGCTAGAAACGCTTTCGTCTTTGAGTCTAAGAGGATAGAGGCATCCTTCATTGCTAATAAAGTTTATGAAGAAGAATCCACATGGTTTGATACTTTCATTGGTAGGAAGGACGGAGGTGATGCGGTCGTGTCGGAAATCATTAAATGGAAAAAACCACCTATTGGTTTCCTCAAATGTAATGTTGGTTCTTCGTGGGTTCATTCAGGCCATACTGCGGGTGCTTCTTGGATCCTTCGGGATGAAAAAGGGTCCAAAATCTTACATAGCCGTCGTGCTTACTCATGTATGCGCTCAAAAACTGAAGCAGATTTGTGGGCTCTTTTTTGGGTAGTCGATTGTTTGCATACTCTACATTTCTCGAATATTATCTTTGAGACTGCCTCTGCAACCCTACATGATGCTCTTACCACGACGAATTACCTTAGCCTCAGCCATATTCGTCACAACATTTTCTTCCTCCTTGCAAGGATTAATTCATGGAGTTTGGATCATGCCCTTCCCGAACGAAATGAAGCGGCAGCAGCAATTGCTTTGAGCGTCACGCGCGACCTTCGTCATCAATCCTACATCGCCCGCAACGCTCCGGTGTGGCTTCATCATCTACTCGCTTTGGAGGCTCAGCAATGAGGTTTTGTCTCACCCGAAATGGCCAATCCCAATCATACGACGCCCGCGATGCACCGGCTTGGCTACAGCATTTACTCATTATGGAAACTCGACAATAATGGGAATGGGTGAGATTTTTTTATTTTTTATCCTTATTCATGTGGTGTCTATTGACATCCTATTTAATTTCTTATTTTTCACATTGTATCCCAAAGATTATTTCTATATGTTCAAGTGTTATAAAAAAAAAACTATTTATTATAACGATGATTCAGCGTAAGCAATGACGTTCACTCAATCATCATAAAATCAAATATATAGTTCCTATACATATTTTAAAACAAAATAACCATCTTTAAAGTTTTTAAAAAAATATTTGCATTTTAAAGGTTAGAAAGTTTAGAGACGTTACACGTTACAAAAACCCTATTCAAATCTCAAAACAAAAAACGTATGCATCACAACTAAGCATGGGCATAAAAACCGAGCATCAAACCAAAAAACAAAACTGGAAACCAAACCATAGTTCAAAAATAAAAGAATGATATCTATTTTTCTATAACCAAAAACCGAACTTAAAACCAAATGGATACCAATATAGCTGAAATACAATTTATATACTTAAAATATTAATTAATTTAGTATTTAAATTAACAAGTATTCTAAAATATTATACTTATAAACCTAACTTCCAGAATATATTTTATGTACTGTATTTAAAATAATTCGAATTGCCCTAAAAAGCGAATTACCCGAATAGTTTTATCTAAAATATCAAAATTTATCTGAATTACCAATTTATAATCCAAACCCCCTGTAAAATAGGTTTTATTACCCCGAATATCCAAAATTTACAGAAAAATAGAACTGCCAGTTTATTGAATATAATACGGTTCTTACAATTGTTACCTGAACCGAACCAAAAACTGAAATAATCAAACCAAATCGGTATTGAATTTTATAAATAACCAAATGGTTAATATATCTCTAGAACCGAAAAACGAAAAATTGAAAAAATCAAACCAAAATCAAACCAAAAACCAAATGCCCATTCATAATCACATAAACAAACAAGTAAAATCAAGTTGAGTACATTCACAAATGGTAGACACATCTAACAATAATAAAAATATCCGTGAGGATGTGCGGGTCAAAAATCTAGTTCATAATTAAAACTAAAGAAAAGTCATGACTTATTGAACCAAATGTAAGAATGGAGTTGAGAATAATTTATAAGATATTCAGAATATCAAAACTGGAATATGAATGGTACGTGATAGCATTGTATTTTGTCAAGTTCTAGTCCACGATGTCATGGTATTTGATTAATCGGTGGCAAGTGAATGGTTGAGTGTGAAAACTTGGGATTATAACTTGATTCATGAGAATGTGATTATGTGCTGATTGACTGTTACATGTGTGGTAAAAATCTTACAAAATAGAATGTTATCTTTCTTTAAGTAACATATATAATATATTTTCAGCAATATATATATATATATATACATTATACAATATATACTAAACATATGAAAATGTAGGGATATAAAATCGACATTGGCCTGACCAAGTTCGGTACAATGTTGCTAACAAACATATGCAGCAAGAGTTGTTTCTCTCCATACTCAAAATACCTAACAATGTACGTTCATGATGATACATCTCACATGTCATTTCAAAGATATCTAACTCTCTTCGAATGATAACCCCTAATTCCCCAGGTCATTTATGTAGTTTACCGGAGTATCAACAGCTCAAAACCATATCAAATGGAAATTATTTCTTAATTTCTGATTTGATCCAAAAAAAAAGGAAAAAACTAATCATCAGAAATCACAAGCCATTCTCGTGAATGATCATTAATTAATTAATTTCAACGGTTCTTTAATAAAACTAATCTTTTTCATCATAGCAACTTAGCAAGTTAGCAACCAACAAAGATTAGATATGTGGGCCTCTGGCTCTCCTTTTAATTCATAGTTATTTTTTATATATTTTAAGCCATGTTATATAAACTTGAAAACCTATCGTTTAAAACAAAATATTAAAATATTTTTAATACTGGGAACATGCATGTAAAAGCGAATATTCGGAAGGAAGTGGAGCTTATCATGGCACAATCGAGAAATTATGAAGTTACATAATTTAATCGATCTCTAGTTAGAAACATGTACTTTGAAAATAACATTAATAAATGTAATTTAAAAGTTAACTACCATTATTTTCATATTTTTTTAAAGCAAAAGGAGCCGTCTCAACAGCTTTTCTCTTCTCTCCCGAAGATTTATAAAAAAAAATATTTGAACAACTAAGAAATCGAGAGAACCAATAATTCTGTTTCTCTATTTATCCAACTCTATCACAAGAGAGGAACCTTCCATATATGTTAAGGAACAATCAGTCTAATTCATTCATCAAGAAATTGAGAGAGCCAATAATTTTTTTTCTCAAAAAACACAATACAATATTTAATTTGTTACAAGTTTATTTCACACTACGGTTTATAGTTGTCTTGAAGTGAAATTGATTTGAAAAGATATATGCTTCAACCACATAATCAAAATACATTAACTTGACCAAACAGAAAACAAATCAAACTTTATAAAACATTACATAAAACAAGAATAATCTTCATATTTCATAGATATTTTTTGAGACATACTCAAAGCATCCAGCTATTATAGATCTTCCAACACCTCCAATCTATAATTCTCATAAGTTTTCTGCTTAGCTTCTCAGCGAGACACAAACCCCTGACACTAAGTAAGTATACAAACAGTATATATTTTCAGAGTATAAATATATAGCACACAAAGACACAACCAAATTAACTCTTACCTAGGTGGCTAGGTCTGAAGTTTTTACTGGTCTAGTTTCCAGTCGAAGGAGGTGAATTACAGTCGCAAACAACCTCGGTTTCGATTTCTCTCCGGTGGAAACTGCGGTGGCAGCCACAGGCGGCGCACGTTAGCGCTGCCACCGAACCTTCCTCTCCGTTGCTTGCCATGAACTCACGGCAGCCATCGACGGCGTAGCCCCCGACCGCCGCCGCATGGTTCTTCTGACACTCGCCGTATCTCACACCTCTCACAGTCAGAGACGAAGCCGTCGATGAGCTTCTAGAAGGTTCATCCGGCGAGGCTCTCCTCAACACCACTTGACGCTTTCTCATATGCTTCTTTTTCTTATTTCTTCTCGACTCCTTTGTATATTATAAACTTGTAATAATGTATTAATGTGATGTATATATGTATATATTTAAGATGGTAATAAGTATTTTTTAGTACTTTTAATTTCTACGGTGGGAAATAGAAAGAGAGTGAAAGATTGAGACAATTACAAGAGTTGTTAACCCTAACCCTAGCTGATATATTTATAGCATTCCTGATAGCAATCGACAACCAACCTTAGATATTTTTTCATGTGTATGTCAGTACTCAGTATGTGTAAATATATGGGTGTGTAGATACATGATCATGGTATATACTAATGCATCATCACTGATTTAGATTCGCATATAATCAACTTATCAAATATTTTCATATATTTAGATGGATATACATATGTAAATATGTTTTTCCTTAATTTTATTTTATTTTGGCATCCACAACTATGCATTCACATGCGTATGCATGCTAATATGTTATTGAATGAGTACATCTTCTTTTGGGGGTTATGAACCTAAATGTGGTGGAATTTTCTTTGGCTCATATTATTTAAAATTCATTTTGCTCGATCACTAAGTTTTTTCATCCAATAGGAAGTGATTTAGTAATTATGCTGGATCAGAATCTGAAACTTGGCTAGGCTTAGCTAGAAAGAGATTTATTTGTCATAACCTGTTTTGGTTTTTGTTGTATGTTCAAAAGTCCGGAGATACCAAGAAAAAAAACATTCACATGCAATTATAAGCCACGAGACATGGAGCCACACCACTTTGTGAGTTAGGCACCCGTCTTTAGTCGATAGTATTATCATCTTGAACGTAGTATTCGGATCCTCCAAACCTGCTGCTATATGCAACTTTCAGAAACAAAAAAAAAAAACATTTATTAGTTATATTCCAACATGTATATATTGCGCGCTAGCTTATATTCATTTTTTATTGTTTTAACTAACTTATTAATAATCATAACAATGAGCATTAGAACAATTTAATATATAAAGTAGGTGCTGATACAAACTGTAACAATAAACATATCATGAACGCAAAATTAAGTTATGTTTGCAAGTGCGTGAATGAAACTTATGTTCAATTTTGCTAGAAAACCCTAAAATGATGAGAAAGCTTTTCTTAAGACCAAACAAAGTGATTGGTTTTAAAAGGAAGAAAACAGCTAAGCTTGTCTTTTTAAGACCTAATATGTACTGTGGTGGCCCCTTAACCCTCATCCTCTTTAATCCCATGTTTTTCTTCTACTATGTTCTAATTCATTTGTTTATTATAATTACACGTATGGTTACGAAAATCATTTATACATATTGTAATTTGTAAAGAATATGAATTAGTATCGAGTTCGAGTATAATACTATGCAGAGACAAAAAAGAACTGTTTATGTCGGATACGTGATATTGTGATTCACTTGGTCTCTACCCGATCAGATGTTCGAATTTAAACTCCAGATTTCAAATTTTGTTGTAATCTAAGTAACAATCAATATGCTTAGAGTGTGTGATGAAAATGCATGAACTAAGATAGAAGAGTGTGTATAAATGTATATACATTTGGACCTAAAAACGTGGGACTGATAAGTTGGGCTACCAAACTTACTATGTACATCATGAGGACAACGCAATCCTTCACGATCTTTTGCTACTTTACAATTACGTATTGATATTTCCAATTACACGTGCATACATTCATTCGTATTTCGGTTAGACATCAAATGGTCTTATTCATGTGTTCCATCAATATCAGATAATTAGATAAAAAATATTGTGATATTCATATAAATATATCAGCCTTTGAATTCGACGCAAGTCATGAGATATTACCCGAATATCATCATATTGAGATGACATCATTGGCATGTATCATTCATCTAAGTAAAAAGATTTATAGTGTGTGTGTGTCTTCAACTGATTTTTGAGTTAAAAATGTCAAATAATACTGATCATAGTTTCCTTGTTTCAAGTTTCATCTTACTATTGGTGAATGATTGATTTAGAATAGACGGACTCAATACAATGCTCACTTCACATCTGCAAGTTTCGAGATTCATCGTTCTGTCAAATTTTTGTAATCTTATATCAAGACATATATATATATATGCATGGGTGTAGATAAATGTTTAACGCACTTGCAGACAATGTACGACCAAATTTATTTTGATTTGATAAGACTGTTTCTTTCTAACGACAATTAGGAGTCGTACCAACGCCATAAGTTAGTAACATAATCATAGGCCAACAAAACCTGTTTGTAGTTTTATTTGATAGTTTATACATGAATAACTAAAAGTTCATGGCAACTACGTATGGTTCCTATTTACTATTTTTGGTGTGGATTAGGATTTAAACAATATACAAATGTTCTTATAGTCGGGTCACGTACTTCAGATAAAAGAGTTGAGAAATTTATAATCAATGTTAAAATCCATTACCCCATTTGGAAACTAATATGTCCATACAAGTCAGAAAAAGATAAAATTAAAAGTATTCAAAATGTCTTACTAACCGTCCATTGTGCTAGTAGTTTAGCACAAATATTGGTTCCGTTGTACTCCTATTTTGGTTTCCCTTGAAAAACTTTGCCATCGAATATTTGCAAAGACTGGTCTTAAATCTAAAAGAAATTAATTAGGATCTGACTCAAACTTCTTCTAGTTATCAAAACAAGTTCTAAGGAGGGTTAGTGAAGGTTGAATTTATACAAGTAAAGTCACATTACAATTTATTAATGACAAAGACAAAAGTGGTTAGTGGAGTAATGATGGTTATGGTTTATTGATTTATGATAAAAAGAGAGATTAAAAGCAACGAGAGATTATGTTTCTCAACCACCCATCTCTCCTTCCCCAGCTTCCATTAAAGTGATGTGTAATCTTTGACTACTCAACGGACAATCTTCCTACGGCTAAACAATTTCAATTTGTATACGAAGCGCGAGTTTAGTAAATTGACTGTATTTTAAATATTTTTGTAAGACAAGTCCAATAGTTCCCTATCTGAATGTTGAAAAGAAGCCCTGTTTTTTGTTGAGTTTCTGTGAAGGAACCTCTTCTTTCTTTTCTTCCCCAAAGGCCTCTCTCTTTCTTTAAATTTAGATGAATGCGTTTTCCTATTTGGCAAATGTTAGAAATTTCATTTGTGCTTGAATTAGTTTTCAAAACTTAACATAAGACAAATGTTTACCCGTTAGGACATTAGCACCTTGACCTCATCCATGTCGCATGTGTGGTGTTACCAATTCACTCTCAAGACACATTTATCATTAAATACTCTAAAAATTCTAACCTTTTAAAACTAATAATTACTGCATATCACATGATGTCACATGATGCAGTTATTCTCTAAACTTTCACCTATATATTTTCTGAGAATTTTTTTTTATTTATTTTTAAGAATGCCATACCATTTCTGAATTTAAATTTGGAAGGTTTTTTACAGACCCGTAACTTTTTGACTTGGGCGTCCGAATATATTTATAAAGCATACTTTTGCCTCTAGTGTCCCGAGCCATCATGAATGTTTTCTCAGTGGTAAATGAACAATATTTTGGAAGAAAGGTGTTTTTGCCTTGCAAGCGATGGCAATTGTTTCTTTGTTTTCGTTTATTATCTTATTGCCCAGGTCTGGTGGTTAGACTTCTGAAAGCTTTTCTTTCACTGGCTTTGTTATCCTTTGGGCTTGATTTTACCTGCACCAAGTTGTTCAAAAAAATTCTGTTTATACCTTCTGTGTTTGGTCTTGGCTCGCAGGAGTTGTGTTTCTTTTGTCTGATATTTTCAATAGCTCATATGCTAAATTTTTTCACAAGTGTGGTTACTCTGGTATTGGAGGTTTTTATAACGATCTTAAAGCCTCTGGATTGTATTTGGTTAGTCCAATTCACTTTGACAGAAACCAGGTCCAAATTTATCTTAACAGTCAAAATAACAGGAGCCTTTGTACTGGATTTTTCATCATTAATCTTAACATTATACCTGCTGGTTTCTCATGCGTTTGTTTATTATGCTCTATGGTTATCTTGGCATTATGGTTTTGTGCTTGTTTTCCCTTTGTGTTGGTTCGCTTATAGCTTATTATTTCCTCAATGGAGTTTTTCTTCCTCATCCGGCGGTGGGTGTTGGTTTTTTCTTTTAAGCGGGTATTATAATTTAAATAAAAATTGGTTATTTAAAATATCATGAGTATCTTAAGTTGGAACTGCAGAGGGGCTGGTAATAAGGACACCGTTCAACGAATTAGAGATTGCCGTCGTCAGTTTTTCCCGGATTTTCTATTTCTCATGGAAACTAAACAGAAATCTGCTTATATGGAAGCTTTAAAATTAAGTCTTGGTTATGATTTCCTACATACGGTTGATCCTGTTGGTCGTAGTGGTGGTTTAGCATTAATGTGGAAAGGTTGTTATGTAGTGGAAATCTTATACAGTGATAACCGAATTATTGATCTGAAAATCACTATGGGTTCTTTGGTGTTTTTCTTGTCTTGTGTCTACGGAGATCCTGTAACAGGAAGACGAAGATATGTATGGGACAAACTAATAAATATTGGCATTAATAGGGATGAGGCATGGGTCTTAGTAGGTGATTTTAATGAATTAATGGATAATAGCGAAAAATTGGGTGGTGCTATTAGAGAAGAAGCAACTTTTTTTGATTTCCGGAATATGGCTGAAGCTTGCAAAATCAGAGAAATGAGAACTACCG